TCTGAAAAAACTGTCTTCCACAATTCTATCACCATGTATAATTTGTCAGCTTCAATCCGGCAACTGATGGAACAAAATGGGCCTTCAGAGTATATCAGTGAGACCATGTTTTTTTCTCACAAGGATTAGATACCATTTTTAATTATTTTTCTCACAATATGTGATATCTTGTTATTACTGTATATCCCGTATTACCAAAAGTGTGTGAATTCAAATCATTTGAGTAGAGTTTTAAAAAAAAATAGTTTTCTTGTTTGTAAATTGAAATGAAAGGCACAATGAAAGAGTTTTAGGAAATGGATTTTTATGAAGTCATTTAGAAAATATTTTGCTGTAAAAAACATCAGAATTTTTTTTTACCATGATTTAATTTATAGAAGGATTAAAGTGTATGACATTATAAGTACATAGATAACTGCACAATTCTGCTAATGCACTACAGGCTATATACATAAGTTTATACAGAATGTGTGGTGTGTGATATTAATTTATTGCCCTGCATAAACTAACTATATATTCTGGCATTAACCGTTTGTTGACAGGATTATATTGCTTATTTCAGTCTTTCTTAACCTGGATGAGGTTGTAATAAACTTTCAGAATTTTTAGTAATACCATTTGGCCTATAGAATTCTCATGGTTGTGATGTTACTTTTGGGGAATACCCAGATTAATACTACCTAATTTGCTATTCCTTTCACTCAATTTATCCAAAACTGGCTTAATGTTTATATATCCCAAGACTCTGGGGGGTGTATACTGCCCTGAGACCAAAAACACAGTTTGTTGCAGGCAACTAACTCTTAAAAGATCTGCAGAATATGCTTTAAAAAAACAACAACTAGAGGATGTTTACAATCTATAACCAGATTACAAACAAATATTTAGGCATACTTAGGGGGCTTAGATGTATCTATTTAAAATGGCAATTATTTATTTTATTTTTCCTTTGAGTAGCAGATTCAATGCTAAATAACAATTTGCATCTGAAAACCATGTTAGTTTGAAAAAAAAATTGTAATACAAGTAGTCCTTGGAGTATGATGGCAATTGGGACCAGGATTACTATCATTAAGTGATGCCGTTGTAAATTCACAACACCACATGACCGTATTGTTAGCAACAACAATTCCAATCCTGGTTGGCATCATAATCCAAGATGCACAGGTTGTTAAACAGGAAAGCATGGAAGTTCCAGGTAAGGTATTTGGGGGTGCCAAGGGGAGGGGTAATGGCCCTGGGAGTAGTGGTACAGGCCACGTGCAAATTCAGAAAGTCTGGGGCATGAGAATATGGTGGACCACATGTACAGGTAGACACGAGGTAAACATGCAATGGGGTGTGAGCCAAGAAGCGCTGGGTGATGGACAGGGTGGAGGGGCTGGGGGAACTTACCAGAATGTCTTGCAACCTTCCCTCATTGGCTTCCCCATTGACTGTGCGGTATGAAATTGGCAGGAAAGGCCATAAATACCAATCACGTTATAACTATTATAAGCGCAAGCTGGTTGCCAAACACTTAATCATTGACATGTGGCTATGGGGGCATTCTAAATTAACATCACTTGTAATATGAAGCATAAAGAATGCTAAAAACAAGAAAAACACTGCTCATAGTAAAAATCTTATTTATAATGGCTTTGCTTAACAAAAACTAAGATTTGGCTGTGAGAGTGACACAGAAAATCCTATGTCTACATAGGATAGAAAAACTAGAAAACAGAATTTCTCAAACTTTTTCAGGCTATAGATATTAAAGAAAAATCCAGGAATATCTGGTCAAGACACAAAAGAGTAGTGATGATAAAAATCAGCCAAGTTCAAATGAACATCCCCCCCCTGCACTTTAGTATCTCAGTAGTATATCAACTTCTAAGCTTTGTTATGGAACGCACCAACGATATACCAATGGAACAATATACTCTTTCCCCCCCCTTCTGATTCATATATGATACCCATATTCTGATTATTTTGTCCCGTTTTTAATAAAGACTTTATAGTGGTACCATATTGTCTGATCCTGTTTTCTTATTTGACAGAGTGGCAATAAAGTGTCAATTACTACTACCCCATTTGAAAATACCTCAATAAAAACAGGACCAGCTAGAAAGAATAGCTATAGAGGCCGAATGGTTAGACGGAGTAAGAAAACAAAAAAGAAGGAGTGCTTGGAAAGGTGAGTTGTGATTCCTTAATAAAATTTGTAACATTTTTGTAATATGTATTTCTTTATGTTAGAATCAAGATTTCCAATTTTTCTTGATATTACTAGCATTAAATATTACCTTAAAGGCTGTTGATTAATTACTCTACAAGATTACTTTACAAAATCTCTTAAAATACCCAAATACCCTTTTTTTAAGAATAATTTAAGATTGTGCTTTTTATAATGATTAACCTGCTAGAAAGCTGCTGGGGTTGCGGTATTTACATGTAAATAATAAGAGGGGCAGTGGGATCTCTCTCTCTCTCTCTCTCTCTCTCTCTCTCTCTCTCTCTCTCTCTCTTCCTCCCTCCCTCCCTCCCTACATACATACATACATACATATATAGCATAACGTTCTTTCAA